ATGAAGAATACACTAGCCACGGCGAATCTTATGGAACTTGTTCCAACAAAAACTATCACCTAGAAAACAAAATGGTATCGTATGTGGATGATTTCTTTATTATCACTAGGAATCAGAAGGAAACGCATAATTTGATTTATGCCCCCAAGTAGTGTAGCCGCAAAATAGGACTGGTTATTAATTTCGACAAAACGATGACAGGCAAATAGATTGCTGAAGTGATTCTTTTGAAATTCTATGTTTGTTTCAATGCCCGCCTCCAATAAAATGCCTCATAGGGATCATGATCTACGCTATCGAATGTTCTCCTAAAATCCATGTAGGTAAAAAACCGGCAATTTGTATTTGACACATTTTTGTATTATTATTTTGAGCGCCAAGATTGATACCAAAATGTTTTTCCCGGGTGATATGCTCAAATATATTTGGAGTAAAGACTTTAAGATGATTAAATTTTCGTCATTTTTTCACCCAAATTTAATTTTGTATCTTAATACCTAAACTAAAGCCTTTGTTGCATAGGTGGTGGAACTATGCAGATCCCAGTCATTTTAAAAGTAGCATAAGTAGGGGCTCGAGTTACCTGAAAAATATGAAGAGGCCCTCAAAATTTTGGAATTTTTTTTCATATTACAGGCATCCAAAAAAGGAAAAGTCCCAATCAAAAAAGGAAAAGGTTCAATCAAGAAAGGAAAAGTGTCAAACAAAAAAGGAAAAAGTTCAATCAAAAAAGGAAAAGGTCCGATCAAAAAAGGAAAATTGTCAATCAAAAAAGGAAAAGTCCCAAAGGTTAAGGAAAAAATCCAATCAAAAAAGGAAAAGTGTCAATCAAAAAAGGAAAAGTGTCAAACAAAAAAGGAAAAGGTCCAATCAAAAAAGGAAAAGTGTCGAAAAAGGAAAATTCCCAAAAGAAAAGGGTCAATCAAAAAAGGAAAATTCCCATTCAAAAAAGGAAAATCGTAATTTTTTTAAAAAAATATATAAACTTTTCAATTTTTCCTAAATTTATTTATTTTTGTCATTCCTTCTTATTTTATTTCTAACTTTTTGCGATTTCTTTATTTTATTTGTATCTTTTCTCTCACTATATCTTTTCTCAATTTTTTTTCTTCTCATTTTTGATAATTCTTTTAAGTATATTTAATTTTCACTAAATTTTTGGCAGACCTTTTTTATTATAATTTTTTACATATGAAATTATTTAATTATAATTACGATATATATTTAATATAGTACGAAACAAAAATTTATATTAATCATTAATAATTTCTCCCCTTCTACATTTTGGGATATGTCTCCATATTTCTAAAATAATTTTTTGCATTTTCTTCAGATATTCCTCTTTCTCCATGTTCTATATAACGAATTAATTCTTCCTCGTTACTAGGATTTTTATTTCTGACAAAATCTTTCCATTGAAAAAACACATTCTCAATAGGATTAAGATACGGACTGTAGGGTAGTAAATATTTCAATGTATGTCCTTTTCTTTCGATCGATTCCCTAATTGAATGATTGTGATGAAATGGAACATTATCCATCACAAAAATCATATTAATCATGTTAGATTCTTCAAAATGATTTAATATTTCATTTATAAAGTTGCTAAAATATATAGCATTGCAAGGGCCATCAAGAACTTCGAATCGAAATATTCCTGCAATTGTGAGAGCCGCAATGATAGTGTAATTCATTGTCTTTATTCCTTGAACATTTTTAATTGCCTTTTTATTTATTTGGAAATATCCATATAATCGCCTCATTGATATTGAAAACCCGTTCTCATCGATAAATATAAATTTTTCCTTCATATATGCTACATCTACAAACCAATTCGCTTATTCTTTGCGAATCTCTATATTTCGTTATTTTCTCTAACTGAACGTAATTATACTTTTTTAAAGCTGTACCTAAATCCTGAGAGTAACCTTGATACCGTATTTTTTGATATTTCCATAACATATCTTTCTTTAATGATTTCACATAACCTTTTTATAAAGTGCAATCCAAATTTATACAATTTAATATATATTCTTCCTGCTCTTTATTTAATTTCTTGAGTGCGCGTGAACCTCCTTTGGGTAAGCTATATTTTATTCTATTTTTGAGATGAGAGTATTTAATATTTGTCACTGTCTTATAGCTTACTTTAAAACATGATGCTATATTTTTGATACTATCTTTTTTTAACGCGTCAATTATTAGAGCTTTTGTTTCACTGTTAATATTTTTTCCCCTTTTTACCATATCTTCATAATTTTATTTTTTATAACAAAAAAATTTATTTTTAAAGTATATACTCAACAAATGGAAGTGAAAAAGATTATAAAATTTACCTCATTTGAGTTTAATTTTTCAAAAATTAAAAGATAATTAAATTACAAAATAATTATTTACTTGCTAAAAAAAATAAATGCGTTTTGAATATATTAAAATTTTAAAAATATAAGAATTTTAAAATGATTATATTTTATTAATTTACATATCGTTTGGTATTACAGTTCAAACTTATTTATTATAACCAAACGATTAATTTAATATTGTAATTACAAATATGTATGTAAAAAATAGTCTGCCAAAAAAAATAATATAATTTTAAAATAGAATTATCAAAAATGAGAAGAAAAGAAATAGAGAAAAGATATAGTAAGAAAAATAAATTGAGAAAAGATACAAATAAAGTAAAGAAATAGCAAAAAGTTAGGAATAAAATAAGAAGGAATGACAAAAAATAAATAAAATTTAAGAAAAATTGAAAAATTACGATTTTTTTGAATTGGAATTTTCCTTTTAAGATTGAAACTTTCCCTTTTTTGATTGGACCTTTTCCTTTTTTGAATGGGAAACCCTGCATGTTGAGGGCATGACAGTCATACCCATCAAGACAAAAAATGAATAATTTAAATCTAAAGAAATTAGATTTTATTTGATACCCATATCGATATTTTGTGGTGATAAAAATATTCCTGACCCCCCAAGACCTAGACCCGCCCTCTATGCGTGATTATTATTATTACAATAAAAAAATATTTTTATTAGCTTTTATTTGATACTCATATCAAAAAATTTATTTTTACACCCCCTCCCCCCCCCACCCTCAGACCAAGAATGAAGACTTTCAGTCAAACCACAAAAATGAGAAGAAAAAAAATTGAGAAAAGATACAAATAAAATAAAGAAATCGCAAAAAGTTAGAAATAAAATAAGAAGGAATGACAAAAATAAATAAATTTAAGAAAAATTGAAAAGTTTATATATTTTTTTAAAAAAATTACGATTTTCCTTTTTTGATTGACCCTTTTCCTTTTCTTTTGGGAATTTTCCTTTTTCGATTGACACTTTTCCTTTTTTGATTGGACCTTTTCCTTTTTTGTTTGACACTTTTCCTTTTTTGATTGAACCTTTTCCTTATTTGTTTGACACTTTTCCTTTTTTGATTGGACTTTTTCCTTAACCTTTGGGACTTTTTCTTTTTTGATTGACAATTTTCCTTTTTTGATCGGACCTTTTCCTTTTTTGATTGAACTTTTTCCTTTTTTGTTTGACACTTTTCCTTTTTTGATTGAACCTTTTCCTTTTAAGATTGGGACTTTTCCTTTTTTGGATGGGAAACCCTGTATATATAAGAGTTTAGTTAATGTAAGCTAAAAAAAGGATAATGTTAGCTAAAAACAAAGTAATTTAAAAAAAATTATTTGAGACCCCTAAGATAGCAAAAGCTAGTGATGCCCTAGCATTTTAAAAAGGTTATAACTAAAATTCATTATTTTTGCCTGAATCCTTAGTAGATTATCATTTTTAGGTAAATTATATGCGTTTAAAATTTACATCTTCACTGAAGTTTTAATTTAACATATTTACATATATATTTTTACCCATTTGGGTCAAAAAAATTCAAAAAACTTTAGAAATAACGATTATGATAATTGTCACTTATCTAGGGTACATCTTAACTGAAATTTTAATTTAACGTATTTACAATATATATTTTTATCTATTTGCTTTAAAAAATTTCAAAAATAACGATTGACAATTGTCAATTTTATATGGTACATCTTAATTAAAATTTTAATTTAGCAGAAAAATACATATTTTGTTACCCATTAGTGTCAAAAAAAAATGTTTAAAAAAATGATAATTGTCATTTTTCCAAGGAACATCATCATTGAATTTATAATTTAACATCTTTATAATATAATAATTATATCTTTACCCTTTTGTGTCAAAAATTTCAAATATGTTAAAAAATAACATGACAGTTGTCACATTAAAATAAATATTTAAATATAAATAAAATAAATTATTTTACTAAAAATAAATAAATAATAATTAATGCTAGTAACTTGTATTAAGCTGGAAGTCTTAAGTAAAAAAATAATTGTATTACTAATTAATTATAAAAACTAATTTAAAATCATGACTTGAGTTCACGACTCGAGTCGGCTTGAGATCATGACTCGAGTCGGCTTACTCGTTGATCTTGTTCACGACTCTTCATAACTCAAGTCAGTTTGGGTCGATATTTTCGACCCAAAACTTAGGCTCAGTTTTCAACTAAGTCAACTCGACTCAGTTGATTATCAACACTACTCCTTAATATCTTAATTCCTTGGCTCCTTAAGGTTATTTGCTTTGCAATTTAAAATGCCAATAAAATGCATTATATATGGGGAATAAATAAAACAAAGGTGCTCTTTAAAAAAAAATTTAAGGTAAAAAGTAAAACAAATATAAAAGTGCATTTTTATAAAAAAATATTAGAAAAGTGCTTTTAAAAAATAACAAAAAGTAAAACAAAAATAAACCAATATTTTCCTAATAAATTCATTTTATCATATTAACAACCAAAAATATCAAAAAACTAAAGTCAATATAAAGCATTTAATAATCCCTGATTTATTTTTCCCGTCCAAATGGGAGGTTTAGCGAATTTTAAAAATCGGGCCGGTTTTATCGGTTCCGATCAGGTCTTTGTCCATCATTAAAAACAAAATTTTAACTCATCGAGATTGGTTGAATTTTGATCTTGTAAGTTATCATTAATAATTTCCAAGGGAACCGATAAATTGGTCTTAACTTTTCCAAATAAATTGTTTTCAACATTGGCATTCACGTCGTTCCTAGGTTTTTAATATATTATGTTAAAAAATAAATATAGATGTGTTTATTGGTCACGAAAATTACCCCCTTTTAATTATTTCCCATAATAGTTTTTTTAATTAAAGCAAATCATTTTAAAAAATCTTCCTTACAAAAAATTGGGAGATACCATTTATAATAAATAATCGAGCGAAAAAATGTAAAATAATTTTGAAGAATACCCCAAATGTGGCGCAGGAAAGTAAGTTGCTATGGTCTGAGGGTCGATTTGACCACTTTTGATGTCGTCAAGGTAGATTCCCGTTTTGAGGTTCGCTTTTTTATTTGATAAAAAAAAACGAAATAAATTATTATAAAATGGTCTTTCAAATTTCAGAATTTTAAATGAAAAGATAATATTTTAAAGTTTCTTATTTTTAATTTCTTTCATTGATTCTACTTTATCTTTTCTGCCTAATTTCATTTTGATTTAAGAAAGTTTTAAAATAAATTTTGAGTAATAATTAATTTTATATAACAATTATATAAGAAAAATCGTGGTACTTTCTAATTTTTGACTTTTCAGCTTAAATAAACGGTTCGATGTCTGGGTTAGAGGAAAATTGGAAGACACAAGTAAAATCCCAAATAAGGTGTTTTCCTCTAAACCAAGGAATGTCAGTGAGCACATCTGGTATTTTCCCATTAGACAGGGATAAGTAAACGGGTTACAGAAGGTTTCAACCTCAATTTAATCGATATTAACAGCTAAAACCATGACGGCCCTAAGGATCAGAGTCTTTCACGCACTCTACATTTATGGGTCAGACATAGGCGACAGCCAAATCTATATCCTATGGTCATTCTTAGCTCTTCGTCGGATAGTAAAAGACCAAAATTAGCACTAGGGATTGCTTCAAGCCATTCATGGCCAGAGTTTTGTCCCAAGTATTTAAGGATTGGAATCTATACAAGGGTGGGGTTAATCACCACCATTTTTCTTAAGTAGTCAGAAGGGGGTTATGAAAATCTCTCCGAGAACTAAGTAAGACTTATATCTCGTTAATTATATTATGCAGTTTGATAATTCTATAATTGTATTTAAATAAAGATCTCAAAATATGTTTGTGGTTTCCAAATAATTTATGATTGGAGAAAAAAATTAGGCAAGGCGTCCAGCTAGTCAAACATTATGGGAACTCATCTGATCCGTTTTTGAAAAAAAAGTTGAAGAAAAAGGATAAATCAAATTCTAAAAATTTTGCGGATATTAAGTTCCATTTAATTTTTTAATAAAATACGAAATTTTAAAAAAAAATAAGTGACGCATTTTAGTTATATGGATGTCAAAACTCTACGTTTTTGAGCCACTCTTAATTTATATCAGACCTGCTGGCCCGGCCCTGGTACATGAACCGGGATGTATTTTAATTTTTTTTTTAATATACCAAGACCAGGCCTAAATTTTTTTAATACCCAGGCAGGCCTGAAAATTTATTTCAAAAAAAACCTCGGGCCGGGCCGTATGTTTTAAAACCAAACATTTTAAATAGCTATCATTATCTATAAAAATTAAAAATAAATATAATATATTTTTTAAAAATCCGGGCCAGGCCGAAAATTTTTTATGCTGTGCAAATGTTACCTCTGCAGATCTATGATATATTATTAAAAATATTTAAATTTTATGTTTTTAAAAAATGTATTAATAATATTTTTAAAATAAATTATATATTTACCCATGATATAGAAGATTTCCTTATTTTTTTAAACTGGTAATAGAATTATATGGTCAATAAGAGTGAGAGAAAGGTTGTTTAAGGTTATATCCCCATGGTTCAAAAAACTATAATAGCCTTAAAAATATTATTAAACCATCAATTTCAAGAATTAATTAAAAAATGGCCCACCCCCCATATATTTGGTATTATAAATCTAAGAAAGGCCATTTTAACCAAAAAATATTTAAAATATAAAACAAAAAATAAACTTTGTATTTTTGTTTTATCAGCCATATGTCTGAATATAGAGCAAATTTGATATTATTTTTTTTAAATTTGGTGAAGTTCATTTTTTTTTATCTATTTATTTTCTTTACTCAGTAAGAATTTAGTTCTCCTTAAATAGTCTGCAAATGGCAAAATTCTCAGGTCCGGACCTGTGGGAATCTATTTTCGACCGACCCAGTTTCAATTTTTCACTAAGGTTACCCGTCCCGGCCTGGTTTTATTTTTTTACTAGTCCGGCTAGGTTCGGGTTTTAAACAGGGATGCGAACCCTAACCGCCTCGTATTTTGGCTATACAGGGTCCAAGGGTTCTAGGTGTCATAAAAATTATTTTAAAAAAATAACATAAAAAATTTTTTTTTAAATATAAAATATTTTTTAAAAAAATAATATAAATTTTTTTAAATTTTATTCACTTTATTTCGTGGATTTATCTTATCTTCTTTCAATTTTCTTCCTGGACTTCCATTTTATTTAGAGATATATATCATAAATTATTTTCAATCTACAATTGGCTATTAATGATTTAAAAAATAATCACTTTAAAACTATCATTGATAAAGCAAGGGATGTTACAAAATATTTAAGAACTCCCACAATTGTAAGAATATTAAAATCAATGAAAAGGTCAATGGCAATATTAGAATGCATTGGTACTCAATTTATATGATGCAAGAAGTATTATTAAGTTTGAAAGATTTTTGTAATGATTTTATTATAGGAACATGTGAAGTCATTTTGGAAGATGATTGGTGCCAAATAAAGGACCTTACTAGTGTATTAGTTCCTTTAAAAATAACAACATTAAATCTGAACAATTATGTTTATCGAATTATATTGATTAAATGCCGATTAGATTTCGAAAAATTTACTAGTCCTTTTTCATACGGAATATAAGAAAACATGAATTCGTGAGCAACAATATTTGCAAAATAGTGTTATATACGCTTCTATATATTTAGCGATATCAAGTTTTATTGAGTATTAAGCAAAAACAAATGGCTAAAGACCATCTTAAGGATTTATGGCATACGCAAAACTCCATTATTACAATATATTTAGGGCTACGACAATACCTACTGTTTTTAGTGATAATAATGATAATGATAGCAACATTGATGATCTTGAAATTTTACTTTTAGATAGAGAAAAAAAATCAAATTATCATCAAAAGGAGGATCAAAAAATGCCTATTGCATCTTTAATAGAAAAGTTCAGAAGTTAAGAGAATAAATAAGCATACAAATATTTTAAAATTCTGGGAAGAAGATTCTTCAATATATCCAGAATTATATATCTTGTCTAGAATCATCATGGCTGTACCGGCGACACAAGTACAATAATTTATGTATTATAAAGATAACTATCTATTTCGGGTACGTAGAACGTGAATTTTCATATTTGAAATATTTGTTGTCTTATTTAAGTGGAAATCTCGAGGATGATATTTTAAAAGATATTATGATTGTGTGATTGAATAAAACATTATAGATATAAATCATTTCATCTTTAAATTTTTTATTTGTAAATTATAAATATGTATATATTGAAGTATAATAATAAATGAATGAAAAAAAAGTGTTATTTTGAGTCATTATGTTCCCTGAACCCGGGCCCTTAATTTTACTACTGCATCCGAACCCGGACCCTTTTTTGTCGAAGGGTTCACGTCCCTGTTAAATATGCCCAATAAGGCCCTACCTAAAATATTTGTAGTTTAAACCAAAAAAAAATATTTATAATATTGGGGAGTGGCCAAATTAAAAACACTATAATTTATGGGTTAACACTTCTATCAAATATCAGAATTCGACAGTAAATATGTACTATTTCTGCCAAAAATAATTTGATTTTGTCTTGAGATTAAATTAATAATAATTTGTCATTAAAATTATAAGCCAATAAAAAAATTAATGTAACAAAATTAGGTTTTAGAATGATTTTTTATATTTTCTAATCTCTATTAAGCGGGTCAGGTATCTCTTTTTTCTCGGACCGGCCCATTAATTTTTTTGCCAGAGGCCGGGTAATGGGGACCACTTCTCCTTATCTTAGGTATTATAACTGGCAAAACTTTCAAGCACTATCTTTTTTCCAGTCTCCATTATTGCAGAGTTGTTAGCGCTCTTTTTTAGAAGTAGCTAGCTATAACCCCGGTACATTTTTAAAAGGATCTAGCTCCCACTCCAAGTAATGGAGTGCCGCTCCATAGCTGCTCCTTTAATTTTCATTTTTTTAAGAAAGTACACGAAACAAAATCATATTTTATTAACAAAAAAGTTTTATTTATATTAAATTAATTAAAATATTTATCTTATTTAGCTTTTAAAAGTAATAAATTTTCTAAATTTTAATCTAACAAACATCCACACACCTCCCCTAAAACCTGCTTAGCAATACCTAACAGGCGCTCAACAGGAGCACTAAAGGGAAGCGGGGTATTGTATTTTATAAAAATATTTTTTAATTCAGGAAATTTATCAATAATAATAATTTTGATATCATTATTTAAAAAATATTTGTCCAATATATTATCTTCCTAATGATCAATTTCATGGAATCCAAAAAAAACTTCCAAATCATTGCAGGGTTAACGTGAACTAGTAGCTATTTTTGCATCAAGAATTTGTTTTCTTAAAAAATATATTAATTTGTATTTTAATCTGCAATAACGTTATTTAAATAGATAATTTTTTTTAATTTCGATTTCTTCTTCTATGATGTCTGGATCCATAATATTAATATCAAAAACTTATCATATATCTATAAAATGAATATTTATAAGACTTACAAGATTTCAAAGAAATTTTCAATATAAAAAGAAAGAAATACTTTGTTTAAAATATTTTAACTTATTAGATGAAAAATCAATATAAAACTCGGTTCAACATTTAATATTGCATAAATCTAAATAAAATAAAATTTCATTTTTATTGAATTTTTAACAAATATATATATTTATTAATATTTAAAAAATAATTTAATGTATATTAAATTTAAAAGAGCGCTGGAGCGGCGCTCTTCCACTCCAGCTCTAAAAGGAGCTAACTCCCACTCTTGATTTTTAGAAGGAGGGCGCTCGCTCTTTAACAACTCTGCATTATTGTAACTTAAATTTCTTTCAAGGCTCTCTAACCAGGAGGGGTAAGAATCATTTACGTCATAGAGAAAAAGAGTACCCTCTTGGTCAACATACATATTAAGTATCAATTTTATAATTAAATTATTTATAAGAGCTTAAAGGGACTCTAAAGAACTCTTATTTTTTTTAAACGATTTTTATAAAATGGCTTAAGATTGGTTAAACAAATAGGACCTTGTAATAACTAAATTGAGTCAATAACTTTATTATTACATGGGATTTACAGAAAATGTTTCAAATTTTTCTCATATAAAATTAATTTTTTAGAGTTTTTTTAATGTAAAGGGATGGAGAAGACCCCTGAGAATATCATGTTAGAACTTTACTACAATCATGCACTGATATATCTTATTAATTTTTAACAAATCGGTATTCTACCAATGCGTGGTTCCCTATCTGAATTACAATTATATCAAAACGAAATGTAAGATTCTAGCAGTGTTAAAAACCATGTCGAAATTAATTTAAATGCAGTTTCGCAGTGTTATTGCAAAGTAAAACCTTTACTTGGGATGTTTTTGGGGTAATTCTTTTTAATTTTGCCGCCCTTTTCACTTTCTTCGTCCATTGATTTTTTCTCTGGCAATTTTCCCCATCTCCATTTCAAATTCTGACCAGCCTTGTCGACGTGACTGTCTTCGGCTTTGTGATGATTTTTAATATTACTTTTGGCATTAGCGAGAGTGACGTTATCGCTATTATTGGCGGAAGAGCAAGAAGTAGGGTTCCGGGTTTCAAGTTCGGTATCGCTCTTGTACCGCCCTGGTGGCAAGCAAGGGAAATCCGGGGCTTCTGGCCATGAAGAGCTTATAAAATAATTATTATATAACCAGAATATGGAAATTAAGTGAAAAATAAACGTTTATAATTATATAACCAAATCAAAAATATATGATGCCTATAAATAATTTTTAACGAGACAAATTATATTATTTTTTTAAAAAATTCAATTCTATTTTATTAAAAAAAAATTTCTGAATATAAAAAATGATAAAACATAAAAATAATAAAACATATATAAAAATATATAAAAATAAAAAATTGTATATTATTCGGAGGCTCTAAAAAGAGCTTAATTTAATAATGAATTTCTAGTTGATTTCGTTTATTATATTAAAGATTTTCCGCATAAAGTTTTTTAAAAAAAATATGCAGACTGGGAAAAATTGCCGTTAGTTGATATGACTATTGGCTGAAATATAAAGTTATTTTTTGAATATTTATTAATTTTTTGATTTTCTCCACAAGTAAAAGGGTTTGAATTAATTGATGAAGGAAAGGAGGAGACGCAGGTTGCGTCTCAAATAAGGAATTTTCCGTTGAACCAGGGGGTACAGGTTAAACCGTCGGGTCTGAAGCCTTCCTGTAATGAAAGGTTGGTTAGTTCGAGGATGTTGGGTATTTTAGTTTTATTAAAAGCGTTATTTTTATTAATTGCTTTATGCCGAAGATGGCGACCTTGGCTGCGGGTGCAGTTTAGGCCGTGTCGGGCGTTAGGTTGAAAGGGTAAGTTGCATTGGTGGCAAGTGTGTGGCTGTGTAAGCGAGCATCCAAGTCTAAATCCTATAGTAACTCTCAGTTGGTCATTGCTTAAGAGATTAACTAAGGTTTGGCTTAGAAGTGCTTCGAGCCATTCATGCCCGCCATATTTATCGTTGGATTGTAATACTTGTATATCGTTAATATCGGTGGGTTAAGGCTATTTTGTAGTTTCTTTATTAGGGGCTCGATGATTGAAATTTCGATTGGAAATGTATAAACGTCTGGAGTAAGTTAATTCCATAGTTCGATTGCTGCTGTTAGAAGATCAAAGTTATGAATGAGATCGCAGAATTGAGGATTAGGCGATTTGAGATATATAAAGATAGGGATAATAGTTCTAAGAGAATCAGGTTGATACCACCTAGTTTAGCAGGTAATTAGGCAAGGTGCCAATTAAACTCCGATAATGAAAGGTTGAGGATCCTTTATATAAAGGTTTTTAAGCGAATATTGTGTTGATTGAAAAATTTTGAGGTGGTGAATGAGGATGATGAGTAGAAAGGATGCGAAATTTTAGGTAAATATAAACACTTTTTTAACAAGTAAAAAAGTTGGTGCGATGGAATATGGTTGATGAACTTTTCCAGGTTTTGCATTTCAGAAAAAGTTTTATCGATAATTTTTTCTGATATATTATTATTAAGTAATGGGGAGTCCAAGAGTTGGATATCACCTTTTTCAATAATAGTGTAATCTTTAAATAAATTAAAGGGTATCTCGTCGGGGTTGATGGAGCATATTTCTGGTTTGGTTTGTTTAATTCTAAACCAATTTTAGTGCATTATGTTTCGAGGTGGCTAAGGGCTTTGCTTATCTGATGTGAATTACCCCAAAGCGTGACATCGTCTAGGTACCATAGGGGTGGAGGTCAAAATCAAATTTACTATCTTTCATCATATTGTGGATAGCTAAGCAGAAAAGAATAGAGCCGAGGGGGTCTCCCTGTTGTACTCCCTCTTCGAAATATATATACCATTAAAAATGTGTGGAGTGCTATTGTTATAGCAGATGTCTAAGAAGCGCGAGTATTGGGGGAAATTATTATAAAAAGATTCGGCCGAAGAACGTGAAATTGCATTGAAGGCATTCTTAAAATCGATTTTGCATAAAACGGAGTTTGTCGGTGGATGTTGAAAGTAGATTCATAGGCAGTGGAGGCTATATCTACTAATTGATATTTGCCAAGCAGGGAGTGAGAATCGGATTTTATTATTTGTAATAATTTTAGCTATCAGACGTCTGAAAAGTGAACCGATTGTGATTGGGCGGATGCTTCCATTAGGTTTTTTGAAAGCAATCGAGTTAGCACCAAATAAAATTTGATGAGCTAATGTGGGAATATCTTTAGTAGTTATATTATTAAGGAAGGTGGTAAGTTAAAAAAATTATTGGAATTAAAATATTTTAGAAATGTTTGGAAGTAAGATGATTTATAACCATTTTAGCTTGCTGCTTAAAATTTATTAAATTCACTTATAGTTTCGCATATATCTTGGTTTATAATTATGAAAGGGGGGGGGGTATTGAGGGGCGGGTTTGGTAAGCTAGTATAAGAGGCACGTGGATGAAGGGTTTTAGGTTGTCAAGGGTCTCGTCGTTAAATGGGGCAAGTTTTGTTTGTGAAGAGATTATATGAAAGTGCTATTTAGATGTTATAAAATGATTCAATCAGAATTTTAGATTAGATCACAGCAGTTTTATATCATAGACCAAGTATATTATTGAGGCTAAAGATTTGGAAGTTAAAAAGAAATATATTTGTTATATCTTGGCTACAGGTGGGAGTGAAGTCTCTAAAGTATCAGTAAAAAAACAAGTGGGAAATGATGGAAAAGACTTGGTTGAAGGCAACGGAAAATGTCGGTGATTAGACAAAGGGACCGCTGATACACAAAGAATCGTGGTGGTGGAATCTTGCCATAGCTAAGGATTGATGGTAAAAAAAGACATACAAGGTATGGATAAAAACTATGGCGGAGATTGACATGGAAAAATAAAAAATAGTAAGAAATGCTTAAAAAAAATAAATAGCTGATACAATAAAGTAAAAGGCTGGAGATTGCAAGAGGGTTAGTGAATGAGGAATGGGTGAGGAATATGTTTAGGATTGCTAAGTTGAGGGCGAAAGATAGACAGGTTAATAGATGTAAACTGTTTAAAAAACGTAAGGGAAAAACCATGATTGATAGAAATAAAATTAAGAAGGTCTGTCGTATATGGAAAGACTATTAAATAAAGAGAATGAATGGGACAATGATATAAAATGTGCAAAGGTGGAGGGGCCCAACTGTAAATTTGATGATAAAATTAGAAAAGCTTTAAAGTGCATGAAAAATAAAGGGCGGGCCTACGAGAGTGGTGACAGAAATGTTTCAGGCATCTGAAGATCTGGGAGTCGAGTGGCTGATGTGTACAACCTGATTATTCTTGAAAGGGACCAAATGGAATTGAATGATAGTAGTTCGGTATTACACATGGAATTGAATGACGGTATTACACCTGGAATAGATGCTACTGTTGCAATTTTTAATATGCGGCAAATGCAGAAAAGATACTAAGAGAAGGGGATTTGCTTTATTATGCATTCATAGATATAGAGAAGATATAATTTTAGTAAACTATATAATGTTGTGGAAAAAAGAGAAAAATTAGGTTACAAGCCCCGAAAACATGAGGTGTTGAAAAACGGCTAATAACTGCATGATGATGTATGACTAGGCACAAACGGTGGTTCAAACAAATGATGGGTACAGTGATAGTTTCGGAGAAAGGGTAGGGTTATATCAAGATTCCATCTTGAGTTCATTACTTTTTATTATAGTAATGGATGTAATGCAGAAGGACTCGTAAAAAAATACCATGGGATATCTTGTATGCCGACGACTTATTAGTGATAGCAAAAGTAGGACAGAATTGAAGGATAATAGTTATATGGAGAAGGGATTAAAAATATGAATGTGATGTTTAGAGGTGAGGGTTTAGAAACGATCGTGGACACAGACATATGACCAAGTGGGAAAGGTGTTGCTAAAACTCCATCAATTGTACCCGATGTAAATGGGTTCATAGTAGGTGTAGTGGTGTAAAGGGAAGCCCGGAAGGCTCGTCGTTTGTTTGAAGTGTGTGAAAGATAATTGTAGTATGACTGGTTTTTATTCTAAACAAGACTAAATTCCTTTGGAGTTCAAATCCTCAACTTTTTATTTTATAGGAGGTGGGTTTATTTTGCTCTTCCTTTAATTTTAAATTAATGTAATTATTGTTTTTATCTTTGTTTCCTTTTTTTATATTGATCCATTTTTATTTTACTTTTTCCCTTTATATTGTTTGTACTACTTTTTCTTCCATTTTCTCGAAGGATAAGAAATATTTTTACAAAAATAATATTAGAAAAAAAAAATAATTGAATAATTTATTTTTAATTATTTTCATCAATATATACATAATATCACTATTCAGAAAAAACAATAATAATCAAAAAAAATATATAACTCCTTTTTTAAAAAAAAATAACAATCAACACCAAAACATATAATAATAAAAATAATCAAAAACAACTAATATTGAATTTTTCCTATTTACTCGCAATGCTATTATAATGGAAAATGAAATATACTAATATTAATTAAATATAACATCAATCACCACAGTTTTCATATTGGAAATGGAATAAGTTTGGAAAAAGTAAAGTTCTGTTACCTAGGCGATATTCCTAGCGTAGATGGAGGCGTTGATTTGACAGTGGTAACGAGGATAATATATGCTTGGAAGAATTTAAAGAGATGGCTTCAATTTCAACCGATAAAAAGTCTTTCTAGCTTTATGGGGAAAAGTTTATGCAAGCCGAGTGAGAAGTTGTATAATGTAAGGCAGCGAGACATGGACATTTAAGCCGACTCACAACCAAATTAGATAGAATGGAGATGAAAATGATCAAATGGATGGGCGTAGGATATCTATGGGAAAGAAAAACAGCCAGAAAGTGAGAGAAAGGATTGGGATAGAAGCAATAGATGATATCTTGGAAATAGATAGATTGAGATGATTTGGACATGTTGAACGAAGATAAATGTCATTGGTTGAATAGATGCCGTAGGTTAGAAGTGGAGGGAACAAGACCTAGAGGGCGACCCCAAGACATGCTGTGCTAGATACTGACATAAAAAGGTTAGGTTTGGCCCGGGGCGAGACCGCGTAAAATGGAGAAAAGCGATAGAAATGGAAAAGGGTAAACCTGTATAAGAGCCACTAAACGACAAAGAAGAAACACGATCGTTTTCGAATTGCCGAGCGCTATTTATGGCTTATTATTTTAGAAATGGGGAACATAACATCTCTTATAATATTGTTGATTTCATCGTCGTAGACTACATGATGGCATCGGGGCCTCTCGCCCCATTGACAAATTTCTATGAGGGCACTATAAAAAAAATAGATGAATTATTTTATCTCATCTAAAAATGATCAAAGAGAAGAAAAAGCATATTAATTATTATATTATTTCTATATTGCTATGCTCTTTCGTCTTCTCTTTCCTCTCCTTGCTCTATCCAAGATGTAAATGATAGTTCAAATTCTTTAAGGCCATAATGAACTACACGTTAGTGTATGCGAATAATATAGCTAAAATCAATAAAAAGGAATTATTTAATAATCATAAAAATTTTAATAGAAATTATATATACATTTCGCTACAAGAGTAAAAAATTTATTACAAAATAAAAGCTCTTTGAAATTTTTTTTATTAATTAAAATCAGGACTCCGAACCGTTAAGTATAGCATTTCGGCTCGTTTCGGTTTTTAGTTTAAAATTTTATTTCATTTCGTTTTTTTCGAAGAAATTCATATCAGTTATGGTTACAATTTATCATGGTTCTTTTTTAGATTCGTTTCGGTTTTTATAAATTTGATTTTTTAAAAAAAATTAATCATAAACCATATAAATATAAATCTTAGAGAAAAATCTTTTTAATTTATATTTTTATAATTCCTTATTTATTAATCATGAAGATTATTTATTATCTAATTAATTAATAATTTGCCTAATCTCTATTAAATTGAGTATATAAAGTAAAAACAATAAACTTGGTATTGATTTATGAAGATAATGGCGTTTTAATGGTAAAAAAATTTTAATTTAAAAAAAATCACGAATTTAAATTGCCCCTAAGGAAAATAAAAATTTCAAATTTAGGTTAATAATTTTAAAAAACCATTTTGAACCGGTTTAAAAATATTTATCGGTTCGCTCTTCTTATATTTTTTTAAAACGATTCGATTTCGGTTCGTTCCAGTCTTGCAGAATGATACTTTGAGAGAATAGAAGTTTCAAATGCTGAAATCCAAAGTTCTTCATTATATTTTCAAAATGTTAAATAAAAATTATAAATCCTGATCAAAATTCTAGTTGCAATACGACAAGATGATAGCTTTGATAAGTTATGGAGTGTAGTTAATTTAAAGGCCAAGGAATTAAATTTAGTGGAGCCATTTCAACGCGATAGAAAAAAATGCCTTTAAGATTCGAAAAAGGCTCGAATTTATCATACCCTAATTTAGGGTCAGTTAATAAATATTATAGACAAATTTATTATGAAGTTTTAAATCACACAATTGTTCAGCAAATAATAATAAATCATAATTAATGTGTATTTTTGAATTACTAAAATTGGAAAAATTTACATTAAACTCTTTAGAGGAAGTCATAACTATATTAAAAGAACAAATAAAGAAATTATTTCGATTCTTTAAGAATATATAAAATTTATTAAGACGTTATTATTAATTCCGGTAAGTGCTAGTTCTGCAGACTGATCCTTACAGAACTAACACGTTTTAAATCTTATATTTACGTTCTATGATGAGATATCCCATTAACGACTAAATCATGTCAATTAAATGTTAATAAAGAAGAAAGTTGATTTAATTGTGTCAAGGAATATTTTTATAAATAAAAATGAAATAAGAAGAAACACATTTTACTTTAAAAATATTAACATTTATTATATCATTCACAAAATAAAAATATATACAAAATATTATTTAGTCATTAATATTATAAAAAAAACTTTAAATGGGAAATAAAAATAAAATTTCTACACAAAACTAAAATTACAAGCATTTTTTTTTGCTATTTTTTTACAATTAATTAAAATTTGATTATGCTTTTTTTCAATATTTGAACATATCTTTAAAAAATTTTTTATCCCCCATAGACATTTTTATAAGTCAGATTTTAAATATGATAAAGTACTTTTATTAATTATTTACTTCTAGGTAGAACTCATATGATTTTATAGCTTTAAGAATAACCATTTCCCTAATAATTTCTATTTATTGAAATACATTACTTTATTTATCCTCTTTCAATGTTTCAGAAGCTATCTACAAAAAATTTTTTTAATGCCATATATATACTTCAATTCTATAGCGATGATATATTATTCACAATTACTCTATAGAGTTAACGAAATTGGACAAGTCGTTTTCGCTGTAGGAGAGTGACGTATTCAAATTAATTTTGAGGGAAGAGATCTTAAAAGATTTATTGCGTGGTACACTTGGTTTCTTAGTGATTTCTGGATCCGAATATCGGGACCGATGAAGTCCACTATCTATGGAAAAACTGGATTTGAGGGAAGATTTGTCAAAGGCTTGAATATGGTCAAAAAAAATAAATTATCCGCAATAAAAAAAAAAATTTTTTCTTCCTCGCTCACTTTTAAAAGGGATAAAAAAGAAGAATCAATGTGTAAGGGAAAAAGTTTTATTGGCAAATAAAGGTACCAGATTTATAAATATTCAAGTTTAAAGTGAGAAATAAGTAATTCGTGAAAGATACCTAATATTAATTGAATGTCAAGATTGATTTAAAAAATAAAAAATTTAAAATAAAAAGGGAATCTAAATTTAAAAATATTGCAAACCCCACACATGAATAATTAATTATGTGAATACTCTACGTTTGTTTTAATAAGAACTAGCATAAAAAAGTATTTCCTCATAAATATTTTATAAAAATTGGGAAATAAAAAAGGAAATTTACTCTCTTTGGTCGTAGACTCTTCTTCATTCCGGGTCAAATTTCGGCGATTAATTTTTTTCCGCCTCCTGGACGAAGTAGAAGGCGATTTGACAGAACCGTTTTCGTGATCGCTACTCGTTGGCGATGGGCTCGAATAAGCTTAAAATAAATTAGTATTGTAACAAATTTTAAAAAAAATGACTTTCAGTGCCCATATTTATTTGTCAATTTTGTGCATTTTACAATGATTCTGTTACAAACTGCGAGATTTTACTGAACCCAAACCGTTTTTTTTAATTTAGGGTTCAGGGTTCAAGAATTGTTTTTTTTTTACTTTTAATATTAAAAAAATATTTTTTTAAAACCATTTTTATTATATTATATGCAAATTTTTTTTAATTTATTGCCACATCTTTGTTATATCTTTATTTAATAGTTTATCTAATGTCTTATTCAAGATCATTTAGTTTTCGTACAAAATGATTTTAATTTGAGTATTATTATTAAAAAATCCTTAAGCAATTATTACCTCATTATAAAACAGAAGTTCCTATCTTATATTAAAACACAATATAAAATAATTATAATTAATAGAAATAAAGTCATTTTATAAAAAAAACTTGAGACTAAAATAACTTTATAAATTTTTATCATAGATAATATATCATAATATATATTTTAGCAATATCTAGTTGGATTTTTTTAATACTTTTTACAATAGACAAACAAATATAATTAATTAAATTAAAGCTATAAAAGTATAGAGTAATCTAAAAAATATAGTAGATAGCATGAAACAAAGAAGCAGGGGTTAGAACCGAACTGCAAAACCGGAATGAACCGTTATGATTTTCTGTACCGTAACCTTAACCGAACCGTTATGAAGAAAATATTAAAAGAGCGAACCGAACCGTTATAAATATTTTGAAAAATAATTAATTTTAAATTATTAACCTAAATTTAAAATTTTAATTTTCCTTGGGGGCATTTTTTAAATTGGTGATTTCTTTTCAAATTAAATATTTCTATATTATCAACATTATATATCAAATTAAATATTTTTATATTATCAACATTATATATCAAATAATACCAGGTTTGTTGTTTTTTCTTTAAATACTTAATTTATAAGAGATTAGACAATTTATCTATTAATTTGATAAGATATCTTATCAGACATAATTATTCTTGGCTAAATTATCAAATTTATATATAAGATATTAATAAGCTTTTAGAATAATACCTGCTAATAATTAGGAAAAAATTATATAATTCTATTATTAATAAATAACATCTAATAGAAATCAAGTACCTTTTACATTCATTTTTATATTATATGGTTTATTTTTTATCTCATTATAAAAACTTGGATCATAGAATTTAAATGACAATAAATAAAATAGTCAGCAATATTTTAATGATATAATAATTTTTTATTTATAATCATTGTTTTTTTAAATTAAGAATTCTAATATTATAAATTATTTATTATTATAATATGTTAGTTAGCATTTACCTTTATCATATATGCAAAATAAAAAAATATGATTAAAGAATGGCATTTGTAATTAATATTTTTCTAAATCTGTATTTTTAAATAATAAAAATCTTACTATAAATCTTCTGTTTAAATAAGTTAATTAACATTGCATTAAATTATTTTTATACTTTTATTTATTTATTAATGTGTTTTATATTTAAATAAACTTACAGTGAATTAAAAATAGGAATTACATTTTGATGTTAAACTAAATATAAATACCATAGTTTAACTTAAATTACCTATTCTGTCATATTATATTAACATCTAATAGAAATAAAGTACTGACCAATTTTTATATAATATTGTTTTACAATAATTTCTTATTTATTGATATATTCAAAAAGTTTATCTTAGTTTATATAGAATATATCAGAGTGGGTCATTTGAATTAAGCTATACTAGTTATATTTAGTTTAACATCAAAATGTAATTCCTATTTTTAAATGTAAGTCTATTTAATATAAAACACAAATAAATAAAAGTATAAAATAATTTAATGCAATGTTAGTTAGCTTATTTAAACTGAAGATTTATAGTAACATTTTTATTATTTAAAAATACAGATTTAGAAAAATATTCATTACAAATGCCATTCTTTAATCATATTTTTTTTTATTTTGCATATATGATAATGGTAAATGCTAACTAACATATTATTTTAATAATAAATATTAGAATTCTGAATTTAAAAAAAATATGATTTTTATAAATAAAAAATTATTATATCATTAAAATATTTATTGCTGACCATTTATTTATTGTCATTTAAACTATAATCCAAGTTATTTAAAAATGAAGGTAAAATTGTTTCTAAGCTTTTTTATTTATTCTATTTATATAATAAAAGATTTTCATCTATCATCATATAGCTTTTTAGTTATCTATTAAATGGTTCGGGAAAAGTCAAATCCTGTGCGTTCCTATTTTAAATTAGATATCATAAAAAATCAATCTATTTGTAAAATAGAAGATTGTGGTAAGGTCTTAACTGGGGACCATGCTGCAAATCTTGAACGACATATAGAAAGATTCCACAATAGGAAATTCAAATTATTAAGAAAAAAGAAAGAAAATTTGACTATTAAAAAAATTCAAATAACGAAAACTGCAAACCAGTATAATACAATCCAGGATACTTTTAAGTCCAACACTACTACAATACAAATCAATATAAATAAAGAAACTTTAATCCGCTCCTGCACCGAGCTAATAACAGTTCCCGGTAGGCCAATAAAATCAATTGACGACAAAGCATTTCGAAATATTATAGATCCAATAATTATAGGATTGGGTGGAAATTTAACTATCAATTCGGAAAATATACGCAATAATATTAAAAAAATGACGTTAGATTTTTCGGAAAATATAAAAAAGGAAGTATATCAAAAACTTATTTCGTTAAAATTAGATATAGCAACTAGGGCTGGGAACCAATAGTAAAAACCCAATATTAACAAAATATTGTATTGGTATTGGTATTGGGTCTAAAATATTGGTATTGGTTTAAACAATATTTTCTGTTTCTTGTATTGGTATTGCTATTGGTATTGGTTTATATTGGTAACTATTGGTTTATATTGGTATTGGTTTAAATTCAAATTACTAATTAAAAGAATAGAAATAGTGATTATAAAACCCTTAATTTCTAATTTTAATTAAACATGGGGAAAAAATCATGATACCATAAAATCAGGGCTAAGAACCAACTCTCAAAATTTTACTGAATTCAAATTCTTTTTTTAAACTAGGAATTTATTAGGTGATGTGAATATAAAATTTTTTGATTTAATCAGGTATTTTTTGTATCAACAATAATAAACGTATTGATTTTGAACCATTTTATTTATCACAAAGAACATAGCAAAATAAGTAAACTAAAAATGTAACATAACTGTCTATTTATACAAAATATAATGCAAAAGAATGATATAATTTTGATATAAGAGGAAATATATTTAAGAAGAATCTTGCATGCGCATCCAACTTTTTAGGCACAGGCAAGCTTGTATAGTATGCTCATCTAGTGAACAACGTTGGTCTGTTATAACATACCGTCCTTCTGAAAAAGCCCTTTCAGAGCTAGATGAGGTGGCCGGAATTGCTAGATAATCTCTGGCTAATTTTGATAATACTGGATATCTATTTTTATTTAATTTCCACCAATCTAATGGATTTGTATCATTGGAAATTGTGGCTTCATCTATGTATTTTCTTATTTCTAAGTTGTTATTATTATGAGGTTTCACCTGATAAATTTTGTCACAAAAGGATAATTTTTTGTTATTTTGTGCTTCATCTGTAAGTTCCGCTGAATTGTTATCATTTATTTTATAAATATTGTATTCATTAGTAAGATATCCAATAAGAGTTTCCATATTATAATGCTTTAATAAATGACTTGATAGTTTAAATCTTGGGTCAATAATTGTTGAAATAATAAAGAGGTGTTTATTAAAATTATAGTATTTATTAAGTTTTGTTAAGGCAGCTAAAGAAGCTGTCTTTAAAATAGTGGATTATTATTATAACTCTCCACATGCTCAAAAATACTGGAATATAAAGGAATAATTGTTGAAATTGATGGAGTAGCACATGAGGCCATCTCTGTAGCAAAATTAAATGGTTCCAGAAATTCTCGGTATATTTCTATATTATTCCAGGCTAAGGCACTAATATAATTTTCTTGATTGGTATTTTGTAAATGATTGGTATATGTTGTCAAATAGGGTTTGAGCAATATTGCTCTTTCAAGCATTTGGTATGTTGAATTCCAACGTGTTGATATATCCAAAATTGGGTGAGGAAATTTTAAGTGTGGATTTTTTTTAAGATAAATTTTTTCGAGTTTATTAATTTTGATATAGAAAGTCTAAAAATTTTTTAAAAATTTCTTATTTTTTTTAAAGTTGTATTTAAGGGTTCCAATGCAGTCATGACCGCCAAATGTATAATATGGCAAAAGCATTTGCACACATTATCAAAATTATCTTTATGTTTTAAAATTTTTAGAAATGCTAAATTATTACTTGCATTGTCTAATGTAATGCAAAAAAAATCAATTTCAAATTTTACTTTTAATACAGAATTAAAAATATTAATAGAATTATGTGCTGATTTAAAAGGAATAAAATCTAATAAATGATTATTTAATTTAAAATCATTATTAATATAATGAATTGTTATGCCCATAAAGGGTATTTTATTTGGAGAGGACCAAATGTCCATTGTTAAGGAAAATTTAGATGTAATGTTAGAAAGTATAGATTTTAAATTGATAAAAGAACTATGATAATGTTTCATAATTTCTATTTTTAGTGTTTTTATAGAATCTAATGTTAGTGAAGGGTTACATATGCTATTAAATTTTTAAAAGTGATATCCTCAACTATTGAAAAGGCTAAATTATTTTGAATGAAAAAGTTTATTATTAAATTATTTAAATTAGCTTTATTATTTATATTATTAAGTAAAACTGATTTTATTTCTTAATTTTTTTACTGCCGATATTTATTTGCTCACATTTCTTATATAATGTTGGGTGGATGGATTTAAGATGTGTCCATATTCCTGAGGTTCCAAAATTGGGAAGTGATATTTTTTTTTACATTTATTACAA